GTTATAGCTGATCCACATTCCTCTCATTGTTATAGCTGATCCACATTCCTCTCATTGTTATAGCTGATCCACATTCCTCTCATTGTTATAGCTGATCCACATTTCTCTCATTGTTATAGCTGATCCACATTTCTCTCATATTGCTTATCTGAGAACACATACAGTGTACAGTTCTCATGACCATTCTTATTTTCACCCTTTATCGGGGTAAACCCACTGTGCCGAGGCCCTCTTTTGGTACAAAATCTAAAAGTGACATATACATCACTAAATTGGATATTTCATCAAAACAAGTGAATCTATTTTGATAGTTCTACATCTAATGACTAAACTCGCTGTAAAAAAGCCCCTGTTTTCAGCTATTACAGACAAATTGTTTGACGTCAAAGTCAAAGTCGTCGTAAAGGAATGTGCTCGAGCCGCTGCCAGCAGCTCACAGGCACAGTGGTTCCGACCGTGAGCTGCTGGGAGTGGCTTGCCAGAGATAAGGAATTAATACAAATAACAGAAACAAATAAAAAACAGCTCATTGTTTTAAAAAAATAATGAGAAAGACAACTTCCCAGATTTTTCAGTACAAAGTATTATCTTCTTGGGTGTCATAGTCCAAACACAGATCTCAAGGAATAAATATTTCATGATGGGGCCAAAGAGAATGTGGTAGACAAGCAATATGACAGGTTATTACTAATACTATTTTCATGTAAAGTACAGTAATAAGAGATTGAGTACTGGTGTATGTATATATCATACAGATGAAACAATTAGAAAGTAAGGAAACAAGCCCATCAGACTTGAAAAGCTTCCTTGACTACCAAGGACACAAAACAATAACCTTGATAAGCCTTTTGAAATATCAGAAAAGACGTTGTGCACTGCAAGGTCAAGATGTAAGTACATTATTTACAAACCAGCATGGAACAAATGTAATGAGCAGAATCATTTTAAAAAAACAACTTTCACACCACAGAAAATTCATTTACAGATCATAAAAATTGATCCAAAATAAGGTCAGCAATCTGACAGAACAAGAAATAAATAAATCAAAGATCGAAATCTATTTGAACAACTTAATATCTACTTCCAAAACAGATGAATCTTTGACATTGACTCTTTCCATTCAAATTTCACTCATTTTTATTGAGAAAAGAGGGGGAGAGAAAAAAAAAAGCCCAAAGAGAAATAGTATACAGAAATAATCTAATTACAGTACACCACCTGCACATGTACAGTGTACTAGTACTACAAATGCAGTAAAGGGTGACTTTGGAATGTGTAAAAACTTTATTCATTTATGTTTATCATGGTATAATTAACACAGTGAGTTTTGAGTTTTCACCTCTGAAAACTATGAGTAAAGCTCAAATACCTTTTTTCTTGTTCAAACATACTTCAGTTTAAGTGCTTAGCCTTGTCTTCTTATAATGAATTGACTCCCACATGAAAATTATGCACAAAGTTTTAGACACAACGTAGTCAGCTGGGGTTCTTTTCCTCTTTTGAAGATATTACAACTTTGATTACAGCGCAAGGTTCACTCTCTCTATAATGCACTGATAATCCCAATCCAGTTGTTAATAATGTCAATGTGTTTCACTGACAAACAAACAAAAGAGAGACCAGAAAAGGTGGGAGGATTATTTTATTTAGATTGACCTCATTCAGACTAAAAGACCTGCTACCATACTTAAAAGGAAAGGTCCAACAATCAATCTTTTTGACAAAAAAATAATCTTCAAACAAAAATAAAAATCGAAAGAGACAAATTAATAATAATATTGACATATAATATTTTGGAAAGGGAGATCACAATTTATACAATATAACAAACACTACACGCTCCACTAAAGATCATGTCTTCTTTATAATCGACAAAGAATCAAAATATCACAACATTATAACATGTTATGAAATCTGAAATAAAAGTTTTGAAAAAATCCAGGTACTGAATTCATCTTTTCATTTAAAGGAAAATCTACATAATGCCACCAACAATGCGAAAGTACACTACATATTATAAAGTAGTACCGGTATTCATTAAACACAGTAGAAAGGTAAAACAAATTGTCCAATTCAAAAACTTGAGATTTAAGTTCTGTTACAAATAATATAATAATAAAACAGCAGAAAATAATAATTTCAAAGGTTACTTGACTCTCAAATGCACATCTTTAACAAAAATCCACCTCAGTTTTGCATAGTGATCAAATCTCTCCAAAAGCAGAAGGTTGGCAAATAAAAATAAATGTGGCATCATGGAGAAATCAGGAGCTTGTCAAAATAATGAAATCCAAGAAACCAACAATTTGTTGCTCTTTGGGCTATTTTTTATTGATTTTTGGGGGGCCCAACGCCTTTAATGTCTATTTAAAAGATTTTACAGAAATATTATTGAAGGCACAGAAAATGTTAATTTGAGATTTCCAATGACTAATTTTATTTCTGACACCAGGCGACCCTCACCTCCTTAAATCCCAAACACCTCCACTTCCATTCAAGAGAGATTTTTAATTTAAATTAAAAGCAAGATAAATTAACAGGCTTCAAGATGACACCTATAACTCCATATGCCCAAAAACTGACAAGAACTTGATTCCACTGTGTCTTGAGACATAATCTTTTTACCACCCCACCCCCACCCCCCCCCTAAATAGGCACTTCTTTAAACGAAGATCAGTATTGCATCAGATAGCTTGACATACAAAATGCAATGCCATTTTTAAAAAGCACAAAGAATAAAGCATACATTACATGGTCAAACAATGTGTATGTACACACAACTGTTTCTTTTTTTTTCTTCATAAATATACATGTCTGCTTGTGTGACTTTAAATGCTGATGAACATGCAGCCTATGCTGCACGGCAAACTGGGGTCATTCATATATCATGAATTTGTAGCCTACAAGTTAAATAAAAAATACAAAGACTTTCAGGTTCGTATATGTACTTGAGTATAGGCCCACTACTAATTCTCAAAGGCTAATCTGCAGTCTGCAAAAAAACTGAGACACAAAATTAAGCATCTGGGGGGGAAAAAAAAAAAAAACTTTCATCACAACATTTTTGCCTCCAAGTGCTAAAGCATATATAAGAATAACAAAATTTGAGAACAGGCACACTTGCTTTTCGATAGTGTAATAATAATGCTTTTATCATCAGTCATCCAAATCTCAGCTGATCCCTAGGTAGAAGATACTATGAGCAGTTCTAAGAATTCAAGTGCAACACAGCCCTAACAAGCTGCCCTAAACGCCAGATGGCGTAATGGGTAGTAAGTAAGTAACAGCCCTAACAAGAATCTAAGTTTGAAATATTTGGTACTCAATGTATATATGTAAGTTACTAGGCAAAAAGATTGTTGCCATCAGAAAAAGGTAAAAGATTTAGAGCTAGTTTCAGTAAAAAAATAAATTATTTTAGAAGATTACAACAAAAAGTAAAGGAAATAAAGTTCTTTCAAGGATACCACGAGAATGGAATCTTTGAGAAAAAAACAATTTACTACTTTTTTTTAAAAATTGCCTCCTAATGTTAGTGTTCGCCTACCTACAAATATACATGTATCATAACCCTTCAATTTATAGTTGCTGATTCAAAAATGAAGGCACAATGAGCTAAACAAAAATATCAGATTGACTATCTTTATTACACAATGGCAGATACATTCATTGAATAATTTATATATTCCAGGTGACTCAAGCACTACAAAGTTATGAAAGTGACATATTAAGTTTCCATACCCTAAAAGCAAACCTTTTTTTCAAAACAATATACAAAAGTAGCATTTTGAAAATTAGATCACGGATATGTTTATGTTAAGTATTAAAACCCTCTTGATAATACAAGATATCTTTTCTTTCTTTCACATACACCAATATTATTATAGAAAAGCATATGCCAATCCAGGCTCCCACCACCATCTTCAGCATGCACTCTCACTCGAGATGAAATATCAGTAATGGCTAAGAAATCACAGCTTTAAGGCACAAAAAGCTAATTATTTTTTCTGGCAGTTAGAGAGAATATGTAAAAGATTTGCTGATTATAATAGCAGAATAGCATCAATCTATATGCAGTACAGTGAAAATTGAGGCTAATTACAGAGCATCCAGTTTCAAAAAGTCTGCAAACTTTGAACTGGTCCATTATTTTCCAAAAAGAACAGCAATATATCATAGGTGGCTAGGCATAAATGTTCATAATTTTTTTAAAGAAATTTCTACTGTATCAATCTTGAAAACAAATTTCTATTCCCTTTAGCTTTGCACACCTTTCAGGGAAGGGCTACTCAAATGGAATGATTGATTGAGCTACATTTTCTTCTTTTAATCTCTTTAATATCCATATACAAAGCCTTTCCTCTTCATGTTCCAACTTCTCTTCATTCTAATACTTTTGAAAAAATAGTATAAGAATGTACACTTTTATTTGGCCTTTTAACTATGTTTTCGTCAATAAGCATCCCCAAATCTTGAGCAATTCCAGAAAAAAAAATAGAATTCAGCCATGCGTTCATGCCACCCATGTAACCAATTCTATCTCATGCAGGTAATTTTTTCACTCTTAGCAGCATGTTTTCAATTTTTTATCACACAACTCCCTTTCACTCCATTACTTATGCATGTAACAGACTATGACTTCTGGGGCAAAAATGCTACAGTGGTTTCATCATAAACACCATTCCCCCTAGGAGGGACCATTTTTTCACTGACGGTCACTTGTTCCAACTCTGTTTCTGCCCTTCCACAATCTGCCAGGTATCGCTTCCTGTCCTCAGGCTGAGAAGGTCCCCAAGACTTGTCAGGCTTGGTCAAATGCCTCAAACGCTGTCAAGTGAAGAAAGGAGAGAACGAATGTTACTGCAAAGGCATTGTATAAATACATTTGTGTCTGCGAGTATTTGTGCTTATCTGAAAGGGTGTGTGCCAATGTGTGTGTGTGAGTGTGTGTGTGTGTGTGTGTGTGTGTGTGTGTGTGTGTGTGTGTGTGTGTGTGTGTCTGTGCGTGTGTCTGTATACTGTGTGCAAATGCGTGTTAAAGCTTAGATTGCTTAGATTCAGGTGTCAGAACTTAATCTCCGCACATTACAATTTACGAGTGCATGCGACTTATGAAATAAGAATCCTCCAAAAACAAGGACCGATGATTTTCGCTTGTGCGGGGTGCGTGGTTTTGTTGCTTTTTTTTTTTAAAGGTAACTACCAGTAATAGTTTCCCCATTCGACAGCCACAATCCAATTCCTGGGCAGACAACAATATGATTGTTTCAATAATTATATGGAAATGACTTTTAAAGGAGTAATAGAACATTTTAGTCATCGTTTATCGTCAGTCGTGTGGGTTTTTTGGGGGGGGTTCAGTTTTACAAAAACTGCAAGGCAAAATAAAACAAATTGTGGACAGCAGATGAAAAAGCAAAAGACTTACGAGGAGAAAAAGTTCATCCAAACACACAAAAGAACTTCCTTTGTGGGGCCCGTTGGGCACAGCAGCAACCTCTAAACTATTTCACGAGACATCATAATCAATCTTCCGCGGCGAGAATTTTCTATAATGAAATCAATCATTAAATGACAAGACTCACTTTTTCTTTTTCTTCTTTTTCTTTTTCTTATCGACATCTTTCTTATCCTCGCCATCAGGCGGCTGGCTGGTGGTTTCTTCCACTCCCTCCCCTTCAAACTCTCCATAGTCTTCAGCATCGAACGGTGTCGCTGGGGAGGAAATATAGAATGCTCTTACCATACC